GAGTTAGATTAGTATAGTCCGCGGCGCGAAGCGCCGCGCACACTTTCAATTTCCGTGCGGAACAACTAACCCCCAGCGGTCGCGTGAAGCAACCCCGACTACATTTTTTCACTAAACGCCTATTTCTAAAAATTTCCTTCAGTGTTATAAGTGGACTTAGATGTAAAAAGGATGAATGAACACGGCCCTTAACTATTGCGGTCAAAATATAATTTCCAGATAGTATTTATGCGTTATCGCTCTGCATACAAGCAGAGGATGGATGCGGAACGAATTCATACACGCAAGCCCACAAAAAGGATGATTTTTAAGCAGAAAGCCAATTGCAGGACGGTTTTCTAATGTTAAGAATTATGCTAATCATCGACCTTCAGCACAGGATTCTGCCAGGCGCATGCGGGAACACCTAGCTCCAAGGACCCAGCGCACAAACGAGTCCACTCAAAAACCAACAACAACCAACAACCAGCAACAAACCTTTTGAGGTTCGGTCCAAAAGTTCATATGAATAGTTGAGCTGTCGTCAATCAACTACATAGGAAGAAAGGCGTCAGATGTACCAACTGTCAGCAAGCAGGTAGGCAGTCAGTAGTAAACGAATGCGTACCTATTTACTGCACAGGAACAACCACATGGATGCACGTACATACTTTTTTCTGTCGATATGGTAAATACATGCCCACGCGTGTTCCCTGTCAGAGAGTGACCAATATGATTATCAGCAAAAGCGAACGCCTACAAAGAGGGCTGCTAGTTGGCACGGGACGGGGTATGCCTTCCGTTACAACTTTGGTCGTCATGGCCTAATGGGCAAATTAATGTTGCGCTATAGCGCTTTCGTTCACCACAAGGAAGACGAAACTTTTCGCCATCGTTAGCCATAGAAACATCACGTGGTTGTGCGGTGCTGTCATGCTTGTCAAAAGAAATGGTGCAGGGCGAAACATCGCATATAAGACGGAGTTTAATTTTGTACTTAAAAAGTCTGATGTGTTCGCTTTTTATCCTGTGCAAGAGCATTTTCCACGAAGTATGCAATCTTTAACCACTACAATTAGTGTAGGTTGTTTCTGAAAATCGTAAACGAACCTTTCTAATAACATATTTCAAGCAAGCGAACTACAATCTACGAACAGGTGACTTTAAGTCAAGCGAAACCGATAGGCTGCCGAAGTTTTCCCGAGTAGGTACTCCGTTAGATCAATAATATTTGCTCAGAAATGTATTCGTTTTCAATAGGGGGATAGCACTCGAACACTAACTAAAGGATTATCCTTTGCACTGTTCCTATATTACCTGTTCGTCCAAGGTAGTGGGATTTTTGATGGGTTTTGAAAAGTTGGTACGTTCAGCGGAGGTTGGAGAGGGCTGAGCCACGGCAGAAACGCTGTAGTTCAATTCCGTAGTCCATGGAGAAGGTGGATTACTGTGCATGACACCAGAGCGTGTGTCCGAAATGATGGCTCGAGAAGGCGACGGTCTGAGCACAATGTTGTAATTTGAATTTTTCAACTCCGTCATGTTCACTGCCTACAAGCAAAATGGAGGAAAACATAGACACATTACACCCCGTCAAACACTGACCTCCCAGACGCCACTTCCTTCTAGATGTAGTTGGTGACTAAACGGTTGAAAGACTGACTAAAGGAAATTCATTGAGAAACCTTCACTGGAGCAGAGGCTGCGTTGCACAAGAAATTGGGGCGTTCGATAAGACAATGTTCAAATGTGTTTTGGCTATGTTTCAGGATGCATGAGGGCACTTACTTTCATTCTGGCCTCCAGGACTGTCTTGGTTTTTACGCCATACTGCCAAGTGCCACAAAAGTTTAACAAACAGTAATTAACGACGTGCACCGCTTGAAAAAGTAGACGCATCAGCGCTGACTTTCGCGTTAATTAATTGTGGGGCAAACTTGCGCTGCATAGATCAGCCAACTGGCTTCGATGGCTGCCTTGCGATGGCCAATAAGTCGGCAAAAGTCAACTTAACTTCTTTATTTCTGCGAATACTACTCCTTTTATTAGTGGTTTGTCATAATCTACGGACTGTCAGTGAGAGCTCCAGCGCGAAACTTAACATCGATATCCGGTTCTTCAATTAAACTGTTTCAGAGCATACTACTAAATATTATCGAATGCCCATCTGGGTGTCTCCCAGTCAAGGATATGGCCCAGCTAGACCGGCTCAATGCACAGCTAATGCGAGCAATGAATTTGTTACTAGCATTCATGGCTTGGTGGAAAAAAAGCAATAAGACGCGAGAGGAGTGGAAGAAGGCTGTAGCATGTGAGTGATAGTTAGAAGGAAACCGCTTGTGACTTGGCTTCGTACTAACAACAAGGGTGGGGTAGCCTGCTGAAATCGCAAACACTGAAGGTTCAACTAAGTCACTCTGGCCACTCGTTGGTAATGCGATCCTCTAGCTTCTGGAAATGGAGTTTGCACGAGGCCTACGTGAGTGCTCTTACTGCTGTTCTTGTTACGGTGAGTGCGACAATGTCACACAAAGGAAACACTCAAAGTGCGCTGAAGGTGAGGACGCGTGAGAAGGGATTCGGCTTTGACTACGCCCTATCTTAATATTTCGGTCTCATATGTTTTGCAATTCTTCTCGACTCTTCATATTGGGTCCTGCTTTTTGTGGTAGTTCAACAAGTATGTCGATCCGGTGTGAGAGTATTTCAGTGTAAGAGTGCCTTGGCTGAGAATGTCCCGTTTGATGTTGCATGCTATGAAAAGTTTGAAGCACTCTTCTACCTCCAATTCAGTCCCCTATCTGTGGTAGGTATGATGGTCATCGAAACTGACAGGGTCCTTTTTTTCAATTAGATCCCTGTCTGATCCGCATTCACCTATAACCTGCGTTAGCTGAGTCGTGCTCGGCCTACTATATGCTTGAGTAATTTCGTAAGTGCATACGTATGCTTGATCATCATAATATTGAGGTGCTG